TCTTTCTTAAGGTAGAGGATTTTAAAATACAAGGCCAACAGTAAGAGGTATCTTTTGATACTTGCAGTACAGAGGAAAAATACATAATATTTTTGCACATTTTATACATAAACATTTCAAACACTCATGTCAACTTTTGAAAAGATTATGATAGAATTTGGTCTCCCCATTAGATTGATTAGTTCAAGAACAGAAAACAAGGGCAAACCTCCAAATTAACCCCAAATAAAACTCAGAAACAATGGTCACTGCAATTGTTTTAAACGATAAGCACCTGGAATCTGAGAGCATTGCATCTACATAAGAAAGATTAGGGTTGAAATTAAACAATAAAAGCTTTTATAATCATCTGCATGCTTATTATTGTGTAGTATAGTAATGAAGCTTACCTGGTAAATCATCTAAAGCAGCAAATTAATTACTACTAGGTGTGATCTCTTTACTCAAGCATTTCTGGAGTCAGTTGAAGAAGGACATTACCTTAGGAAGAGGGCCCAAGGCAAAGGAGATGAGGTGGCATCCACTTTCCTGGTGTTTTCTTCCTGCTGGGTAGAGTCCATTTCCATCCTTGACTTTAGTGCATGCTTTGTCTCATTTCTTAAGAAGAATCAGAGTTTTTATATGAAAGTGCCCCAAGCAAGAGATGCCTGTTTCTGAGGGTAAGTGGAATGGCACTGGTCATGGTGTACAAGCATTAATGTGCACTACACTTGTCTGGAAGGCTTTAGAACATAGACTGATGGCCCTAAACTGCAGAATGTCAGATTGAGCCAGTCTGGGTTAGGGCTCAAGCTTTCATGTATGTTATGGATTAAGAACTGGTGGCCAACTTAATGCCAGCTGGATTACATCAGCATGGCACTGAGCATAGATGCTTCACCTGAGGAAAGTTGCCAGCATAAATAGAGAGGTGGAGAAGGAGGGCATCAAGGCATTAATGCACTGTTGGCATTGAGGCATTGGAGCATTGAGGCACTGAGGCATTGTGGGTTCTCTTACAAGTTGCTGTTTGAGTCATTGATTTTCCTGGAGAAGCTTTGGTCCTCACATCAAGCATTGCTTCCTGGTTCCGGAAGGGAAGACGTGTGCTGCTTGGTCTCCAGCTTGTCATGCTGGCTTCCTGGAAGGTACTCGACCTGGAAGGCGCTTGTCATCGGAGGAGCTTGGGGCCTCCTTGTCACTGAGGACGACTGTGGTGCCTTTCAGGACAGCCCTGGTCTTTGCTGTGAGTGTGACTTCTCGGCTCCAGCGTAGAACTCCCATCCCACCAGCACGGCTCCTTCACCCTGCTGAAATGGACTTTCTGGCTTCCACCGCTGACCTTTGGGCATGACCTTCCAGTCATGGATTCATAAAAGAGACTGGTGTGAGTCCTTCCTGTGGGCTCTGGACCTCCAGCTGGACTCATGGGAGGCATTGTCATGAGCTCTGGGTTTTCATCTGGACTCCTGTGGGACATTGCTGTAGGATTTAGGCCCTTGACTAAATATTCTATGCCTTTGGTGTCGCGGATAGATTTCCTGCATTTTCTTGTGTTAACTCTTGGTGACCACACTAAAATAATATTATATTCCACGTTCTGATTCTAGTTGTTCTCTGTACAACCCCTGACTACAACAATGTATATAGTAACTTCTCACAAAATGCTGACACTGGCAACCCCAGTTTGGAAACACCAATGCAAAGTTAGATTGGATTTCTACCCTGGTTCTTTATTTGCATGACCTTGAAAAATTTCTTTACTCCCTTTGCACTTCAATTTCTCTTACTATAAAACCTCCCAACACAAAGCATCACTGCATGGATTCATTGCAATAATGCGTATGAATTTCTCATCACTGTGGGGGCTGATAAGCATTTTGTAAAAAGTAGATAATTTTTAATAGTACTGTAATTTATTGTTTGCCTCTGCTAAACAAAAGAATTTGTTTTAAGCACTAACAGCTTCAGTGAATGACACAGACTAGAAAGTATCAAGCCAGGTTTGGTAACAAACACGATTTATATTTAGGTCATAGTGATCACTTGATGCTATGTAGGCTGTGTAGGAGTCATCTGAGAGACAGACTAAGGCAGATTCAGTAGATACACTCTGGAATTTGGATTTCTAAAGCTCTCCTCCAGACTGTTCTGGAGTGATTTCCTAAGAGGCACTTGTGTGAGACATCAGCTTGCTTTCATGACATGCGGCTTCTAAGCAATTCTTTCAGTGTTAGTTGTTCAGAATCTTCTGGGCGAGCCTACACCCTAGACCACCTAGATCAGAATCCCTGGGTGTATTCTGCCAATGATTTATTTACTTTTGCTTTGATTTTGTGTTTATTTACATTTTTATTTTTAAAAATGTTCCCTAGTTAATTATTATATGCAGCCAAATTTGAGAATCTAAAGGAAGGAGACAGTCATTGGTATCTTAGTCATTTTTCTTGTTGCTGAGATACAATGCTCAACAACTACAACTTAAAGGAAGAGAGACTTATTTTCATTCACAGGCACAGTCCATGGTGGGCTAGCTCCCAGGTAGGATGGCACAGCAGAGGGGCCGGCTGAGGAGAGCTACTTACATCATGGGGGCCAAGAAGTAGAGATCAAGGGATGAGAGAGGGAGGGAGAAGAAGCCTTCTGGGTCAAACCCCTATGATCTGCCTTTTCCAAAAAAAGTCCCACAGTTTTCCCCCATGATCCAATTACCTACCAAAAGCCCAACCTATGAGCACATGAGGCCTTTTGGGGCCATTCTCAATCTAAACCATAAACTGGATAAAGGTGAACTGGTAAAAAGTAAGTTTTAAATGTTGAACACCATTGTGTTAGGCAGTCCTGACACTGGTGTTAGGGACCATTAGACAGGATTACAAGGCTGCCAGTCATCCCCGTGAATGCACTAGATGTTAAGAGGTGGGAAAAGGCACTGAAAGAATAGCTCCCAAATTAAGTTATGTGAATCTTTATTGCGGAAGTCTTTGCCACCTTTGTAACTAAAATGACATGCTGTTTCATGTTTGCTGATCACACCTCCTTCATTGCAAAATACAAGCAAAGTTTCATTCTGTTTTCCCGCAATGGGGCAAATACAGTTGTTCCTTCTTTGCCACAGGGTACATGTTTCAAGACTCCCAGTGTGGATTAGTGTCCAACCCTACATATGCTATATAAATATATAGCCTATAAATACAAACTTGTGATAAAGTTTAACCTGTAAATTAGGTACATAAAGAGATTAAAAATAATAACAAGTAATAGTGTGTCTATATCAGTAGATCATAATGAAAGTTATAGGACATGCCTCCTGAAATATCTTACTGTACTATGCTGACTGTAGTTGGAGCAACCAAAACTACAGAAAATATAACTATAGATAAAGAAGAACTGTAATGTTGTGCTAAGAATTTTTATGTGTACTCTAGCTAGAGTCTTAGCAATCATTAGTGCGAGACAAATATTACCTTCCTCACTTTGCAGATGAAGCTTAAACACCGGCAGAGGGTAGCTGGCTTCCAGCACCAGAGTAGTAAAATGTGAGGTTACAACTGGACCCATGGATCCACTTTGTAACAACAACTCCTTTACAATGGCCTCAATGTTCATTTCTTAAGTCTGTCTTACATATGTGCAAAATGTTTTACAAATAGATGGGATTAAGCTGAATGCTGATATAAGAGATAAGAAAGACTCCTTCTTGACCGTAGCAGGGAATCAAGTTTTTCCTCTGTCTCCAAAGCAGTTTTAGAAACATTAGCACAAAAGTACCTTGGTAGCTTTGCTGTGTGTCTGAGAGCTTACTTCCTAAGCTCTTTGACTGCCTCAAAGTTTTCCATAATCTCCTCACCATTTACAATATTGGATATGAAAGTAAAAAGTTTTATTGAACAATAAAAAAGCTCTAATAAAATAAAGACAGTAAATCTTTCAAGTAGGAGTGGTGAGGACTTCCATGGGAGCCAAGAGAATGGGCCGAGAGGGGAGCCCAGGTCCAGCTTTGGGATACTGTAAGTTTTATCTTTAACAGAAATAATAGAAAACTTGCAGCTATGGATCTACAAACGAGACATGAAATATTGTCTGTGAGGAACACTTCAAAGCATGTGTAAAATAAGCCTCAAGATTTCTTCTTCAGTGTGCTCTGCATGATGCTGAATGCTCAGGGCTCCCTGAAGTCACTGCATAGAGAAGTTGATGAGGGAATGGGTAGCCAACAGACTTAAATGAACCTCCACAAACACTTGGCATAAACTTACCTATCACAGACAATGGAACTGCTTTCAGAGGATTTTTAGAGTCCCTTCAGTCTAGAGGCATTTTCCTTAATAATGCATCTTAAAAAATAAGATGTTTACCAGTGATGGCTAATTCTTTGAAGCTCTAATCATTTTAGCTATATAGCCTGTTCAGGGTGATTATTTCTATGCATTATCCGTCATGCTAAGAAATGATAGCTCAGGGACAAGGAGGCTTTTGAAGCAAATGCTTTAAGACAGTGTTTTAGTTCGCCAGCACTAGCCAATGTTAATTAAATTATATAAACAATGACTCATAGTATAAATACAGTACAGAGAGGCTGGACAAAAAAAACTCAATAACTTTACAACTATTTATTCTTCCAAAATAAAATAAAGAGAGAAACTTTACTCTTTCAGGCATGTGGAAGTGAATCAGTTTTTTTAAAGGATAAAAGAAATGTGTGGGTAAGACACTAATATTCTACTTCAGCAGGGAGAAAACAGTTTTAAAATAAATTGTTTCTCCTGTATATGGTCCACTGATTTTTAGAAATCAAGAAAAAGTTGTGGCTGGACCATGCACTGAAAACCAAATGTGAGAAAGAACTCAAGGGGCTGACGGGGAGGCAGTCTGTGCATGCAGTGGGACTTAGACCTCAGGCCTGGGAGTTAAGTCAACAGGAGAAGAATGGAGTGAAGTTACAGATGAGGAAGAAGTCACTGAGACCCGTTCCATGCTGTGCTGGGTGCACTGTGGAAATGGATGATTCAAGGCCACACCGAAGCCGAGACTGCTGATAACAGGAGTTGGTGAGTCCCAGGTCCTTGGTGGGAGGACGCAGCGCAGTGTGGAGTGGAGCCAAGGTAGAGAGCTTTATTGGCTCTCGATGAGTGCTGGAGATTGGGTTCTGCAGCGTGGGAGGCTGACTGGAAGACATCTTGGAGTAGGGCAGAGCCTGGCACCGCAGTGGCATCAGTCAGCCGCACGTGGCCCAGAGAGGATTGGTGGGAGCAGCTTGGGCTGAAACACGCTGCTGGTTGGGAACCAATAGCCAGGGGCAAAATGTGACATCCACCACAGCACAGTGTAAAGTGCTGAAGGCAGTCGCAGGTTGACTGCTTCAGAGGGGAGGGGCCAACCTGCAATGTCCCTGCGTTCCACCTCAGATATCAGCAAACAAGAGAGCAGGAAGCCACCAGCCAGCACACTTTAGAAAAACTGTAAGTAACAGATCCAAAGAGACTACCAAGAAACTAAAAACTCCATTGAAAGCTGGCAAAATGCCTTGACAGAAACAAAGGTTAGCCTTTTGAAACTTGAAGAGAGATTTACAAAGTGTGATTGTGAAAGAAAAGACCTGTTAAAAGTAACAAGGAACCAAGAAATAACAATTCAAAGACTAGAAGATGACAAACGTAGGCAAAGAAGCAGGAATAACCTCAAACAAATTACAAAGACTATTCACAGAAATAATTAAGGAAAATTTCCCAAGCATAGGAAAAAGAAATGATATTCAGATAAATGAGGCATACAGAACTCCAGCCACCTACAACCAAAATAGATCTACACCTAGACATATAATAATCAAGATTCCAGGAATCCACCACAAGAACAGAATATTAAAAGCGGCCAGAGAAAAGAAGCAAGAAGATCACCTACAAAGAATCATCAAAATAATGACAGACTTATCAACACAAACTATTAAATTGAGAACATCCTGGGGGGAAACAGTCCAAGCCCTGAAAAAAAATAACCTCCAACCAAGATTAATGTACCCTGAAAATCTCTCTTTCAAAATTAATGGACAAACAAGATGTTTCCAAGACAAAGAGGAACTGTGGGAGTTCATGGCCACCAACCCAACCCTACAGAAAATACTGAAGAATATTCTAGAGAGAGAGAGAGAAAAAAATAACAGGATTCCAGCAACAGTGGCAGAGAGGCCTCAATGAACAAGGAGGACAGAGGAACGAAGTAGAAAAATGGACAAATAATAGCAGAAAAATAGAATAGCAGAGTTGAGGCAGAGAAGGTGGGCTATAATTTTTAACATAGATAGCCTAGATACACTAACAAAAAGAAACACAAGCAGAGTAGATTAGGAGGCAGGATTCATTGAGATGCTCTGAATAGGAAATATACTCAACCTGAAAGAAGGTTAATAAACTGAAAGTCAAAGATGAGAAAATGAAGCTCTAAGTGACAGGGAACCAGAGAGAAATAGGGACAACTCATCCAGCAGCTGCAGATAGGTTGGACAGTTATGATACTTTTGTGCAGTGTAGAACTACAAAGATAGAAGGAAGGAAAACCTTGTGGCTTTAGTAAGTAAAAGAGTAAAGCTCAAGATCAAGCTCAGGGGTAAAAAGGTTTAGCACCACTCAGATAACAGGTTGCCCCCTTAATCTAAAAACTAAAGGAGTTAGTAGAACCCAAAATATACAAAGCATCCTGAGAATGGTAAAGATTAGGAATTGCGTAAAAAAGGAAAGCAGAGGACACTGTTAATAGTGTATCAGGATTTAAAAACCATAGTAATCTTATTGCTCTGCTTAGTTTGATTATATTTTGTTCCGGTCAGTCTACTCATACTAGATTTGAGGGCATAGATAGCTATCCCCAAAATAGCAAGTTATACCACAGTAACTATCGTTAATTTCCTGTTAACTTAAACTGAAGTCCTATATTATTTACATTGTCTTACTACGACTGATCTTATTTGAAGCTGATTTGTTAAACCTTTGTTTTGCCTTGACTCATCTTATTCAAATTTGGTATGCTTGCTAATTTTGAGTATAAGTGTAGAGGTAACCACTCTGAAGATGACAAGATGTAATAACATAGCCATTCCGGTTTGATTATTAACTGCTTTTGAAGTCCTACAATGTCTCCAAAGTTGTGTTTTTATTAAAATAGCTATGTAATGCTATGTCCAATTATTATGTCTGATGATGTGGACAACTCTATTGAAAATAACAAGAGAAAGCATAGTAACTACTATAGATCAACTAATAATGTGGTTTTATATGTCTTTTTCATGTTTTTCTAGGAATTTGTTTTTTTGTCTTGTTATGATCTATTTTGCCCTATAATGCAGAAAGGATAGATATACATGTAGAGATTCACATATGGAGAGAATTTCTAAGCAGTTTACAGGAACAGATTATATAATGCACAATGTAACGAACAGATACTCTGAAGAAGAAGAGACACTAAGAAACCCAGTGCTAATTCTGTAACATCATGATATAAAATCTAGCAAAACTATTATTCACTGTTCAGAGTGATATTAGTCTAGTCTCTTATGTTCAATTTTAGCATACGTAAAGGACAGCTACTATGAAGAGAATGAGGGACATTATGGCAGTCACTGTTGATTTCCCCAATGTCAGATCTTGAAGACCTAAAAAGCCTTCATCACCCTGTTATGATCAGATTAATTCTATAATGTTCAGTATGTATTCACTGTGTGTGAAGATGGGGACAACTATTTGGAAGAAAACTAGAGACAATAAGATAGACAGTGAAGATTTCCAGTGGACTTGCTTTGAAATCAGTGTTTCTTAAAATTGTTTCCTTATGTTCTGTTTTGTTCTGTTTTGGTATGTTTAATCTTACCCTTTTAAAGATATGGGCAATTCTTTTGAAGATAGCAAGAAGCATTATAGTAGCCATTATTGATAAGCTTGAATTTTGTTTTTGCATCACATATCATGTCTATTCTTGTTTTAACTGACTACATTTTGCTTTGTCACATTTGGTTTTATTCTCTTCAAACAAAGTAATAAGAACCGTAGGAGTAATAAAATCTAAAGTATGTAATTGTTATTATAAAAAAGAGAGAAAAAAAGTGCTCTAAAGGATATAACTGCATGTATGTTTAAGTGTGTAAAACAGGTAACCATAGTACTAAGTTTTTGTTGGATCATTGAACAGAACTGTTTGCAATCTCACTGTTTAAATGTCTACTTTGTATGCTTTAATTTTGTAACTTGAACAGCGACTTCTAAGATGACAATATGTAATCTATCAACTAGTGATTTCTTAGTATCTGTTCTTTTGAAATTCTGTATTACTTCTACTCTTTTTTCTGTTTTGCTTTTTTTCTCTTTAAATAAAATCCTTTATAATTAAAAAAAGAATACTAAAAACAGGTAAAAGAAGAAATGAAAAACACAATAAAAGAATTGCTAAGCATCTCTTAAGAAGACATAGATGAAAGAGTAAAGACACATAAGAAAATGCAAGAAATCATGGTTGAACAATATAAGAGAAATTTATAATTCATGAAACAGATTCAAAGAGATATTCATGAAATTAAAAACTCCATTCATTGAAAGCTGGCAAAACTGCTTGAAAGAAACTGAAAACAGACTTGCAGACCTTGAAGATGGGTGTGCAGCTTGCAATCATGAAAAGAAAGATCTCTTAAAAATAACAAGGAATCAAGAATTAATAATTCAATGACTTCAAGACAATACAAAGCAAAATAATTTAAAAGTAATAGGTGTCAGTGAAAAGCAGGAATCAACACAAATGATATTAAAATTCTATTTACAGAAGTAATAGTGGAAAACTTCTCAAACATAGGGAAAAGATGTGATATACATATAAGTGAGGCATATATAGCTTCAGCTAGCTATAAACAAAATAAATCTACATATAATAATCAAGATTCCAGAAATTCAACACAAGAATAGAATATTAAAAGCTGTTAGAGAAAAGAAACAGATCACTTATAAAGAAAACCCATCAGAATCATGACAGACTTCTCAACACAAACCACCATATCAAGAAGAGCTTGGAGTGAAGTATTTTAAGTCCTGAAAGAAAACAACTTCCAACTGAAATTCATGTACCTGCAAAATTTTCAAAATTAATGGAGAAACAAGATACTTCCATGACAAACAACAACTGAAGGAATTCATGACCATCAAACCAACCCTTCCAAGGAATACTGAAGTACATTATAAAGCCAGATAAAAAAAGACTATGGTTCCAGGAATAGCGACAGAGGGGGATTATTGAGCAAGGCAGACAGTTGAATGTGGGGGAAGCAGAATAGACAGCCAATAGCAGGAAAATAGCATACAGAAACGAGCCAGAGCATGTTGGCCATAACCATTAATGTAGATAGCCTCAGTTAACCAATAAGAAGAAACACAGGCAGAGTGGATCAGGAGACAAGATCCATCACGATGCTTTACTCAAGAAACATGTTTAACTCAAACATAGACTAAAAGACAAAGGAGAGAAAACACTGCTGTATGTGACAGGGAATCAGAAAAAAAATAGAGATAGCTTGCCTATCAATTTCAGAATGGATAAGAAAAATATGGCATTTCCATACAATGGAAAACTACTCAGGCATAAAGAAAGATAACTTCAAGGCTCTTGTAGGTAAATGGATACAACTTGAGATCATGCTAATGGGGGAAATGGTTCAGAGTCATGTGGGTGAGCAAGTATTAAAACCTAAAGGAGTTAGTGAAATCCAGAATGCACAACAGATGTTGTAAAAGTGAAAGGGAAGGAGACATTAGAGGGGGAAAGCAGTGGTCATTATTAATCTATGTCCTGTTTTGAAACCCTGTATTGTTTTCATTGTTCTGTTTAGATTTATTTTATTCTGTTTTTTGTTTGATTTTACCATATTTGATGGTGTAGACAGCTATTTTAAAAATAACAAAATGTATTATAGTAGCCATTATTGTTTCTTATTATCTTGTTTCAAAGCCCTGCATTGCTTTGTTTTCTTTTGATTGATTTTATTCTATTTTGTTTTGTTTGATTTTATTATGCCTGATGATATAAACAGCTACTCTGAAGATAACAAGATGCACTATAGTAGACACTATGGTATTCCTATTGTCTTGTTTGAAGTCCCGTATTGCTTTCACTGTTTTGTTTGATTGGTTTTGTTCTGTTCTGTTTTAT